ACAGAGCCGAGTAGAGTAGGGCCATGTAGAGTACAGAGCTGAGCAGAGTAGGGCCATGTAGAGTACAGAGCTGAGCAGAGTAGGGCCATGTAGAGTACAGAGCCGAGTAGAGTAGGGCCATGTAGAGTACAGAGCCGAGCAGAGTAGGGCCATGTAGAGTACAGAGCTGAGTAGAGTAGGGCCATGTAGAGTACAGAGCCGAGCAGAGTAGGGCCATGTAGAGTACAGAGCCGAGCAGAGTAGGGCCATGTAGAGTACAGAGCTGAGTAGAGTAGGGCCATGTAGAGTACAGAGCTAAGCAGAGTAGGGCCATGTAGAGTACAGAGCTGAGTAGAGTAGGGCCATGTAGAGTACAGAGCCGAGCAGAGTAGGGCCATGTAGAGTACAGAGCCGAGCAGAGTAGGGCCATGTAGAGTACAGAGCTGAGCAGAGTAGGGCCATGTAGAGTACAGAGCCGAGTAGAGTAGGGCCATGTAGAGTACAGAGCCAAGTAGAGTAGGGCCATGTAGAGTACAGAGCTGAGCAGAGTAGGGCCATGTAGAGTACAGAGCTGAGTAGAGTAGGGCCATGTAGAGTACAGAGCCGAGCAGAGTAGGGCCATGTAGAGTACAGAGCCGAGCAGAGTAGGGCCATGTAGAGTACAGAGCCGAGCAGAGTAGGGCCATTTAGAGTACAGAGCTGAGTAGAGTAGGGCCATGTAGAGTACAGAGCCAAGTAGAGTAGGGCCATGTAGAGTACAGAGCTGAGCAGAGTAGGGCCATGTAGAGTACAGAGCTGAGCAGAGTAGGGCCATGTAGAGTACAGAGCCGAGCAGAGTAGGGCCATGTAGAGTACAGAGCCGAGCAGAGTAGGGCCATGTAGAGTACAGAGCCGAGCAGAGTAGGGCCATGTAGAGTACAGAGCCGAGCAGAGTAGGGCCATGTAGAGTACAGAGCCGAGCAGAGTAGGGCCATGTAGAGTACAGAGCCGAGTAGAGTAGGGCCATGTAGAGTACAGAGCTGAGCAGAGTAGGGCCATTTAGAGTACAGAGCTGAGCAGAGTAGGGCCATGTAGAGTACAGAGCCGAGCAGAGTAGGGCCATGTAGAGTACAGAGCCGAGCAGAGTAGGGCCATGTAGAGTACAGAGCCGAGTAGAGTAGGGCCATTTAGAGTACAGAGCCGAGCAGAGTAGGGCCATTTAGAGTACAGAGCCGAGCAGAGTAGGGCCATGTAGAGTACAGAGCCGAGCAGAGTAGGGCCATGTAGAGTACAGAGCCGAGCAGAGTAGGGCCATTTAGAGTACAGAGCCGAGCAGAGTAGGGCCATTTAGAGTACAGAGCCGAGCAGAGTAGGGCCATGTAGAGTACAGAGCCGAGCAGAGTAGGGCCATGTAGAGTACAGAGCCAAGTAGAGTAGGGCCATGTAGAGTACAGAGCCGAGCAGAGTAGGGCCATGTAGAGTACAGAGCCGAGTAGAGTAGGGCCATGTAGAGTGCAGAGTAGGGCCATATAGGGCTGGTGGAAACAGGTCATCGACTCATCACTCTCACTGCGTTCACACGGGGCTAAAAAAGCACCACTATTTACAACCTGTGAAAATCTCTACTACTAATGCAGTGTTAGCTTAATGCTACTACTAATGCAGTGTTAGCTTAATGCTACTAAATCAAATCAAATCAAATCAAATTTTATTTATAAAGCGCTTTTCATACAAAAGATGCAACACAAAGTGCTTTACAGTTTGGTTAAAAACTGTAAAACAATGATGAGAGACTTGGCAGGGTTCAGATGCAACCAGTTGAAAAAGCGTCATCCTAGGAGCCGTCTGCACCAGGAGCAGAGAGCCGCCTGTAGCCACAGGGGACGACACAGGATCTAGAGGAGACATGAAACCGAGGCCCCAGGCCCCCACCAGGTCCAAGAGTCCGACCCCCACAGCCACACCGACCACCGCTCCCGGTGCAGAGGGCTCCTCCAGAGGAAACACTGGGTACACTAAAAACAATACAATAACAATACAATAAGTAAAACACAAAAATGTGAAACTAAAATGAAACTAAAATGAACTAACACACAATACATGAATAAAAGCAATAGCAATACAATAAATAAAGAGGATAAATAGAATATATAAAATGAAATAGTAAAAACTAATCAAAAGCTAATCTAAAAAGGTGCGTCTTGAGCCTACTTTTAAAAATATGAACGTTCTCTGCGGCCCTGAGCTCCTCCGGCAGACTGTTCCAGAGACGGGGGCCGTAGTGCTGGAAAGATGCCTCGCCGTGAGTGTGTGTCTGTGTGTGTGTGTGTCTGTGTGTGTCTGTGTGAGTGTGTGTCCTGACTTTGGGGATGGTTAGAAGTCTGCTGCCGGAGGAGCGCAGGGGCCGGGAAGGTTCATAGGATAAAAGCAAATCTGAAAGATAAGAAGGCCCAAGACCATTAAGACATTTAAAAACCATTAAAAGAACCTTAAAAACTACTAATGCAGTGGTAGCATAATGCTACTACTAATGCAGTGGTAGCGTAAGGCAAGGCAAGTTTATTTGTATAGCACAATTCATACACAAGGCAACTCAAAGTGCTGAACAAGAAAGCATTAAAATCATAAATAATCACAGAACATTAAAACGAAAGATAAAAATATAAAATCCTTCAGTTGTAGCACAGCTAAACAGCACCGTTTTTAACCTGGTTTTAAACATTGTCAGAGAGGAGGCCTGTCTCACATCTTCAGGAAGATTGTTCCAGATTTTAGCAGCATGAATCTGAAAAGCAGCCTCCCCATGTTTAGTTCTGACTCTGGGCACTAACAGGAGTCCAGTCCCTGTGCTCCTCAGAGTCCCAGCAGGAGTCCAGTCCCTGTGCTCCTCAGAGTCCCAGCAGGAGGCCAGTCCCTGTGCTCCTCAGAGTCCCAGCAGGAGTCCAGTCCCTGTGCTCCTCAGAGTCCCAGCAGGAGTCCAGTCCCTGTGCTCCTCAGAGTCCCAGCAGGAGGCCAGTCCCTGTGCTCCTCAGAGTCCCAGCAGGAGTCCAGTCCCTGTGCTCCTCAGAGTCCCAGCAGGAGGCCAGTCCCTGTGCTCCTCAGAGTCCCAGCAGGAGTCCAGTCCCTGTGCTCCTCAGAGTCCGGGCGTAATGCTACTACTAATGCAGTGTTAGCATAATAATACTACTAATGCAGTGGTAGCGTAATGCTACTACTAATGCAGAGTTAGCATAATGCTACTACTAATGCAGAGTTAGCATAATGCTACTACTAATGCAGTGTTAGCGTAATGCTTTGCACATCAGCGACAGTAATATTGTAGTATTTGATAGAACAAGTTTTTGTAACTTTCCCAACATTAACTCCTAATATTCTTTGGTCACAACGAGGTTTGTGGGTTAGGTTTGTGTCTCTGAAGTATTGCATCTCTGAAGTATTGTATCTCTGAAGTATTGTGTCTCTGAAGTATTGTATCTCTGAAGTATTGTGTCTCTGAAGTATTGCATCTCTGAAGTATTGTATCTCTGAAGTATTGTGTCTCTGAAGTATTGTATCTCTGAAGTATTGTGTCTCTGAAGTATTGCATCTCTGAAGTATTGTATCTCTGAAGTATTGTGTCTCTGAAGTATTGTATCTCTGAAGTATTGTGTCTCTGAAGTATTGCATCTCTGAAGTATTGTATGTCTGAAGTATTGTGTCTCTGAAGTATTGTATGTCTGAAGTATTGTATCTCTGAAGTATTGTATGTCTGAAGTATTGTATCTCTGAAGTATTGTGTCTCTGAAGTATTGCATCTCTGAAGTATTGTATGTCTGAAGTATTGTGTCTCTGAAGTATTGCATCTCTGAAGTATTGTATCTCTGAAGTATTGTGTCTCTGAAGTATTGTATCTCTGAAGTATTGTGTCTCTGAAGTATTGCATCTCTGAAGTATTGTATCTCTGAAGTATTGTGTCTCTGAAGTATTGTATGTCTGAAGTATTGCATCTCTGAAGTATTGTATGTCTGAAGTGTTGTGTCTCTGAAGTATTGTATCTCTGAAGTATTGTATCTCTGAAGTATTGTATCTCTGAAGTATTGTATTTCTGAAGTATTGTATCTTGGAAGTATTGCATCTCTGAAGTATTGCATCTCTGAAGTATTGTGTCTCTGAAGTATTGTATCTCTGAAGTATTGTGTCTCTGAAGTGTTGCGTCTCTGAAGTATTGCGTCTCTGAAGTATTGCGTCTCTGAAGTATTGTATCTCTGAAGTATTGTATCTCTGAAGTATTGCATCTCTGAAGTATTGCATCTCTGAAGTATTGCATCTCTGAAGTATTGTGTCTCTGAAGTATTGCATCTCTGAAGTATTGTGTCTCTGAAGTATTGTATCTCTGAAGTATTGTATCCCTGAAGTATTGTATCTCTGAAGTATTGTGTCTCTGAAGTATTGCATCTCTGAAGTATTGTATCTCTGAAGTATTGTATCTCTGAAGTATTGCATCTCTGAAGTATTGTATCTCTGAAGTATTGCATCTCTGAAGTATTGCATCTCTGAAGTATTGTATCTCTGAAGTATTGTATCTCTGAAGTATTGCATCTCTGAAGTATTGTGTCTCTGAAGTATTGTATCTCACTAAAGTCTGTGGAAGCAGCAGAATCATTCGTTAAACGTCTTTACAGTTATGTCAGTCTTACCGTGTTGTGTCCACGCACCACAGACAGAGACACAGACACATGTCTTACCGTGTTGTGTCCTCGCACCACAGACAGAGACACAGACACATGTCTTACCGTGTTGTGTCCACGCACCACAGACAGAGACACAGACACATGTCTTACCGTGTTGTGTCCACGCACCACAGACAGAGACACATGTCTTACCGTGTTGTGTCCACGCACCACAGACAGAGACACAGACACATGTCTTACCGTGTTGTGTCCTCGCACCACAGACAGAGACACATGTCTTACCGTGTTGTGTCCACGCACCACAGACAGAGACACAGACACATGTCTTACCGTGTTGTGTCCTCGCACCACAGACAGAGACACAGACATGTCTTACCGTGTTGTGTCCTCGCACCACAGACAGAGGGACAGAGGGACACTGGTGGACGGCCACTTGTTCCTCTGAGGTAAAGGTTTGTCGCAGTTCCACAAAACCAGGATCTGTCCCAAACACAACCAGAAGGTTCATCGCCACGGCAACGAGGACTAACCACAGATTTTAGATTTGTTTCTTTGATGTTAGAGTTAGAGATTTTGTTTTATTTTATTTAGTATAAATATTGTTAATTGTTGAAATGTCACTGCTTTGGGACGAATGAAGGATCTTCAACGAGACTAACAAGAGACTAACGAGACTAACTAGAGACTTACGAGACTAACGAGGGACTAACAAGGGACTAACAAGAGACTAACGAGAGACTAACGAGAGACTAACGAGACTAACAAGTGACTAACAAGACTAACGAGGGACTAACAGAGACTAACAAGACTAACAAGAGACTAACGAGGGACTAACAGAGACTAACAAGACTAACGAGAGACTAACGAGGGACAAACAAGAGACTAACAAGAGACTAACAAGACTAACTAGAGACTAACGAGACTAACGAGGGACTAACAAGGGACTAACAAGAGACTAACAAGAGACTAACGAGAGATTAACGAGAGACTAACGAGACTAACAAGAGACTAACGAGACTAACGCGACTAACGAGGGACTAACAGAGACTAACAAGACTAACGAGAGACTAACGAGGGACTAACAAGAGACTAACAAGACTAACGAGAGACTAACGAGAGACTAACGAGGGACTAACAGAGACTAACAAGACTAACGAGGGACTAACAAGGGACTAACAAGAGACTAACAAGACTAACGAGAGACTAACAAGAGACTAATGAGGGACTAACAAGAGACTAACGAGAGACTAACGAGAGACTAACGAGAGACTAACGAGGGACTAACAAGGGACTAACGAGGGACTAACAAGAGACTAACGAGACTAACAAGAGACTAACGAAGGAATAACGAGAGATTGACAAATCTAACGAGGGATTAAAGAGGGACTAACGAGGGACTAACAAGGGACTAACAAGAGACTAACGAGACTAACAAGAGACTAACGAGGGACTAACGAGAGACTAACGAGGGACTAACAAGGGACTAACGAGGGACTAACAAGAGACTAACGAGACTAACAAGAGACTAACGAGGGACTAACGAGAGATTGACAAATCTAACGAGGGATTAAAGAGGGACTAACGAGGGACTAACAAGAGACTAACAAGTCTAACAAGGGACTAATGAGTCTAACAATGGACTAACGAGAGACTAACGAGGAACTAACGAAGGACTAACGAGGGACTTTAGGCCCCAGGGCCTTGGTACCTGTGCACAGAACTTGGACTTGGACACAGCGATGATGAGTTTGAGAACAGGCGAGACCTGGACCAGCAGCGGAGAGACCATGTGGACCACAGCAGTGAACTGCTGCATGGGCCGTTTACCTGAACACACAACAGACGCACAAATATGATACAGTGTGGTCTGAGCTGCTGCAGCTGTCAAAAGCCGTGCATACCCAGTAATATACAGATGTTAGAGAATCCTGAGGGCTACGGGAAGACTAGAGAGAGACAAGAGAGAGACCAGAGAGAGACCAGAGAGAGACCAGAGAGAGAGACCAGAGAGAGAGACTAGAGAGAGACAAGAGAGAGACCAGAGAGAGAAACCAGAGAGAGAGACCAGAGAGAGAGGCCAGAGAGAGACCAGAGAGAGACCAGAGAGAGAGACCAGTGAGAGAGACCAGAGAGAGAGACCAGTGAGAGAGACCAGTGAGAGAGGCCAGAGAGAGAGACCAGAGAGAGAGACCAGAGAGAGACCAGAGAGAGCAGAGAGAGAGACCAGAGAGAGACCAGAGAGAGAGACCAGTGAGAGAGGCCAGAGAGAGAGACCAGAGAGAGACCAGAGAGAGAGACCAGAGAGAGAGACTAGAGAGAGAGAGCAGAGAGAGACCAGAGAGAGACCAGAGAGAGAGACCGGTGAGAGAGACCAGAAAGAGAGAGCAGAGAGAGAGACCAGAGAGAGAGACCAGAGAGAGACCAGAGAGAAACCAGAGACAGACCAGAGACAGACCTGAGAGAGAGACCAGAGAGAGACCAGAGAGAGACCAGAGAGAGGGACCAGAGAGAGAGACCAGAGAGAGACCAGAGAGAGAGACCAGAGAGAAACCAGAGAGAGACCAGTGAGAGACCAGAGAGAGACCAGTGAGAGAGGCCAGAGAGAGAGACCAGAGAGAGAGGCCAGAGAGAGAGACCAGAGAGAGACCAGAGAGAGAGAGCAGAGAGAGACCAGAGAGAGAGACCAGAGAGAGAGAGACCAGAGAGAGAGACCAGAAAGAGAGAGCAGAGAGAGACCAGAGAGAGAGACCAGTGAGAGAGACCAGAGAGAGAGACCAGAAAGAGAGAGCAGAGAGAGACCAGAGAGAGAGACCAGTGAGAGAGACCAGAGAGAGAGACCAGAAAGAGAGAGGAGAGAGAGACCAGACAGAGACCAGAGAGAGACCAGAGAGAAACCAGAGACAGACCGGAGAGAGACCTGAGAGAGACCAGAGAGAGACCAGTGAGAGACCTGTGAGAGACCTGAGAGAGACCTGAGAGAGACCAGAGAGAGACCAGAGAGAGGGACCAGAGAGAGAGACCAGAGAGAGACCAGAGAGAGAGACTAGAGAGAAACCAGAGAGAGACCTGAGAGAGAGACCAGTGAGAGACCAGTGAGAGACCAGTGAGAGACCTGTGAGAGACCAGAGAGACACCAGAGAGAGACCAGAGAGAGACCAGGGAGAGACCAGAGAGAGAGACCAGAGAGAGACCAGAGAGAGACCAGAGAGAGACCAGAGAGAGACCAGAGAGAGACCAGGGAGAGAGACCAGGGAGAGACTAGAGAGTATTGGCATACACACGAACATGTAAATCACATTCCAACAAAAAAAACACAAAATGGCACACACAAAACTCTGTGAAACAGCGAACGTTGAGGTTTGATCCAGGACCAGTGCATTAATGAAGCTAAAAGTATAACTTCAGACTGAGAAGGCCTCACGCCACACATCCAGGACCAGTGCATTAATGCAGTGATTGAAAAGCCTGGTGCAGGGTTGGGTTTGGAGGACTCTGCACCTGTCATCCATCTTGGTGACAGAGGCCAGCGCCGCACATGGCTGAGCATCAGTAAACATGTCCACACTTCCATCTGATGGAGAAGGATGGCGGGGAGAGCGCTGCCATATACTTACATTTACAAATCTATCTTCATTCATTAAAAATGTGTTATTTATTTCCTGTGTGAGACGGACATTTGGCAGAAATAACATGGGAATGAATCTGGAGAAAACCAAAACCAATTTATAACCAGTAATTAATCATAGTACTAATAGTAATAATAGTAATAACAGTGAAGTAAACAAGAGGACCAGATTTTTCCGTCCTAATAACTCACTCAGTGTTGAACCTTGGAATCTAATGAAGGAGGATCCTTTATTAGACCTAACCCTGACCCTCACACTAACCCTCACACTGACCCTGACCCTCACACTGACCCTCACACTGACCCTGACCCTCACACTGACCCTAACCCTAACCCTGACCCTGACCCTGACCCTAACCCTAACCCTAACCCATTACATCTTGGGCATTTACATTCTCTCTAGACAGGAAATATGGATGAAGTGAGCTCATAGATGGTGATTGGCCACCTGAGGCAGTAACCCAAACTGGAAACACCACTGTTTTAGTTTTCCTGGGAGTGCCGCTGAGTGTGTCGTGTCTGAATTAATTCAATTGTTCAGCCTCATTGAGGGTGGCATTGTACCAGAGTCCAAGACTTATTATCGGTTTCTCAAGGATAGTTGGAATTGACTCCTCGTTGATGGAAAAGCTTTGTGAGCTTCCCTTTAGTGATGGAAATGGTCTGGGATTTACTTGGCTAAACTTTCCTCCTTGTCCAGAAACAGTCTCGTGCACGGTTTTGTGGTTGTTATGGTTGTCATGTCGTCCATACATGCCCTAATTGGGGGCAGTTGTCGGCCTCTCTCCAGACGCTCTCCTCCAACCACCCACCATGATGCTGAAATGATCAGCTCCATTGCCATTGTGAAAGCCAGAGGAGAGATTGTACATCCAGCCATTATTCCAAGTTCCAGTTTCATGGACGTAGGCCTTACTAGCTTTGTAATCTGTTGCAGGATCTTATGAGGGACTGACCCAAAGACATTGGAAAGATTGATAAAAATAAGATAAGATAAGATAAGCTTTATTTATCTCACATAGGAGAAATTTACCTGTCACATTTAGCATGGATAGAGACACTCAGATTGTGCAAAAGGAGGAAATGTGCAAACATGTTACATGCAGGATATATATGTACAATAAAAGTGACAATAATTATGTACAACAAAAGTGACAAGTGTCAATTGGAAACAGTGTCAATAGTAGTGCAGGTTTTCACACAGTGATCATTTAAAGTGACTTTGTTCGAGGCACCCAGAAAATCTGCTATTGCCGGCCTTTTGAACTGACGTGTCAATAAAGTTGTTCTTCAGCAAGAACGCTGACAGCCTTTGGGCTACAATGCTGAAAAATAATTTTCCTTCAACATTCAGGAGACTGATCTGATGGAATTGGCTGATGCTTGAAGAGTTTTTCTCCGTAGGGATGAAGATTACTCAGCTCTTCGCCACCGCTTTGCTATGGTCATCTTTGTCCAACTCCAGGTGTGTTCCTATATACCCTGTATGGAATTCCATCAGGCCCTGGGGCTGATGCAGACCTTGCCTTGCCCTTACCTCATTCCATGTAAGGGGGGGGTGTTCATTTCACATGTGGGCGTTTGGAGGATAACAGGCTCTTGACGTTGATAAGGAGCTGTGCCGGCCGGTATTATATGTAAATATATTATATATATATATTAGGGCTGTCAAACGATTAATTTTTTGTTGTTGATTAATCGCATAGTAATGGTGAGTTAACTCACGATTAATCGCATTTTTTACATTCTATTTCAAATTTACTCCAATTGAAGTTAAATGAGATTTTCAAATGTAATGACACATTAGGAGGGCGGCACGGTGGCTGAGTGGATAGCACTCTCGCCTCTCAGCAAGAAGGTCCTGGGTTCGAATCCCGGTCGGACCAGGGCCTTTCTGAGTGGAGTTTGCATGTTCTCCCCGTGTCTGCGTAGGTTTCCTCCGGGTACTCCGGTTTCCCCTACCGCTAAAAATATGTCCAATAGTTCTAGCATGCGCTTCCTGTACTGGCGACCGCGCTCCCATCTCTGTGTGGAGTGAGAGACAAATGCCCAAAATTAACAATTGTAAACCGCTTTGAGACTCAGATCTGCAGTGAAAAGGCGGTATATAAAATGAAAACTTACTTACTAACTTACTTACTTACATTGTTATTCATACCAAATGTACTTACTTCCGGCGCCAGCTCCCACTGTGCAGCTCGTCACTTTGGCTCTCTTCTCTTTCCGACCCTTTCTCTATTTATTTCTTGTAGATGTGCTTTTTTATTTATATTTTTCGTAGACAAGCGTTTATTTGTGCATTGTGCACACGGGAAGCCTAGCCTCGTGGACTTTCTCACTGGATTAACATGTCTTCTGCACTTTTTTCTGAGTCCTCCGCTCACAGAGCCACGAGACCAGCGTGTCCCATTGTTTACACACGGGAGCAGCTTCTCGGACTTAGAGACTCCGCTTTCCGGCACTCAGAGAAGCCAGTGATCCCCTTGGAGATCCGTAGGAGACGCAGGGGCTCCAGAGGAGGCCGAAAGAGGAAGAAGAGACCGTATCTCCCCTCCATCCTCATGGGGAACGTACGGTCCATCTCTAATAAGACTGAGGAGCTGACCGCACTGGTCCGCCATCATAAAGAGTACAGACAATGTGGACTTATGTGTTTCTCTGAGACGTGGCTGTGTGGGAATATACCGGACTCTGTGGTCGCGCTGGAGGGATTTAAACTTGTGCGAGCGGACCTCTGTGCGGAGGGGAGTGGGAAGAGGAAAGGCGGGGGTGTCGCGGTCTACGTGAACGAGCAGTGGTGCATCCCGACGCACGTGCATGTGGTTCAGCGCACATGCACCCAGGACCTGGAGCTGCTCGTTGTGAGCATGAGACCCAGGTATCTGCCGCGGGAGTTTTCACACACCGTGGTTCTATGTGCCTACATCCCCCCGTCAGCAGACGCAGCTGCAGCATGTGAGGAGATGCACAGAACTGTGACCCAGATCCAGACCCGCAGTCCCCGCGCTCTGATTCTGATCAGCGGAGACTTTAACCACGCCTCCCTCTCCGCCACTCTCCCGACATTCAAACAGTATGTCACGTGCCCAACTCGTGGCAATAAGACTCTGGATCTACTGTATGTTAATGTGCGGGACGCATACGCCTCCTCCCCCCTCCCCCCTCTCGGACGCTCTGATCACAGCCTGGTCCGTCTGTCTCC